ACTGCCTAAAGGGCTCTCACAAGGCTACGATCACAGCAGCAGCCAGGGCTGCGGTCTCATCCGAAGGCCTGACTGAAGGTGGATCTGTGTTCAAGCTCATTTATGTGGTGTTGGCAGGATTCGGGTTCTTGTGGGCTGTTGGACTGAGGGGCTCAGCTCCCTGCTGGCTGTTGGCTGGAGGCTTCCCTCAGTTCTTACCATGTGGGCCTCTCCATAGGGCAACTCAGAGCACCACAGCTGGCTTCCATCAGAGCAAGCAGGTGAGATGGGAAAGAAAGGGCAAACAAGACAGAAGCCAGCCTCTTTTTGTCCCCTACTCTCAGGAGTGACATTCCGTCACTTTTTGCCATATTTTGCCTGTTAGAAGCAAATCACTAGGTCATCAGGGGAACTGGACTGAGCGAGGACATAAAAAGCAGGAGGAGGGGGCCGGCCCGGTGGCGCACTGCAACAGTGCGCCGCTTGGGAGCACAGCGGCGCTCCCGCCGAGGGTTCGGATCCCACATACAGANTTTTTGAGTTAATTTTCCCATTAAATGTAGATTTATTTATTTTATATATGTTATTACTGCATTAATCCAAGGGTATTTCAAAAAGTTAGTGGAAAAATAGAATTAAAAGATAATACCAATCTTTCCGTGAACTTTTTGAAGTACCCTCATACATATTGTACATTATAAAATCTATGTATAGACATCTTAAAGAGATAAGATAAAACAATAATATTAATAATGCTTCTCATATTTTCCCCATACCTGCCCTTGAAATTACTGCCCATCCTGGGCATTAGCTGTGGAAGAAAATATGTCTGGCTCATATGGAAATTATAATTTCTTTCTTTTCTTTTCTTTTCTTTCTTTTTTTTTTTTTTTTTTTTTTTTTTTTTTTTTTTTTTTTTTTTTGCAGTTGGTCAGTATGGGGATCTGAACCCTTGACTTTGGTGTTATAACACTGTGCTCTAACCATAGTTTCTTAATGCAGAAAAAATGGAAAGTACAGAGAAGTGGAAAATGGACACTAAAAATCCCCTCCAGCTTCTGCCTCAATCTTATCAGGGCTACACTTGGGGCCCTGCTTCTCGAGTGTGTGTCTCCCCATTTTCATATGGTTTCAGGGGAGGTGAGAGGCACAAGGAAAAAGTGGGAACTTTGGAGTCAGGACCCCTAGGTTTGAAGCCCAGCTCTGTCACTTACCAGTTACCAGTTCTGTGACTTTGGGCCCATTAGCTATTACCTGCACTATTACTGCCTCGTCTGCAAAACGCTAATGTTACTGAATGTAGGAGTTAGCTATTGCCGTATAACAAATTGCCGCAAAACTTATGGCATGAAACAAACATCTGTCATCTCATACAGTTTCTGTGGACCGGGAGTCTGCTTGGCTGGTGCACTGCCTAAAGGGCTCTCACAAGGCTACGATCACAGCAGCAGCCAGGGCTGCGGTCTCATC